AGGCTGGAGTGCAGTGGCACAATCATGGCTCACCATAGCCTCCAACTCCTAGGCTCAAGCATTCCTCCTGCCTCAGCCTCTCAAGTTGCTAGGACTACAGGCGCAGGCCACCACACCCAGTTAATATTTTCATTTTGTAGAGACAGAGTCTCGCTATTTTGCCCAGGGAAGTCTCCAACTCTTGGGCTCAAGCGATCCTCCCACCTCAGCCTCCCAAAGTGCTGGGATTCAGGTGTGAGCCACCACCCTGGCGTTCGCCAGACTCTCGACCATGAACCATATAGTATGGCTACTCCATGACTTCTCTACTAAACCTTCTCAAACGCACACCTCTGTTCACGTGACAAGTCATAAACTGGCCTCCAATGACCTCTGTCTTAACTCCCACTACTCCCTTCAAATGTTCTAGCAAAACTCAACTGCTCACAGCGCCTTTTCATTTTTTATTTATTTCAAAAAGTAGAGACGGGGGTCTTACTTTGTTGCCTAGGAGGGTCTTAAACTCCTGGGCACAAACGATCCTCCTGCCTCGGCCTCCCAAAATGCTGGGACTACAGGCATGCGCCACCATGCCCAACTAATTTTTTTTTTTTTTTTGTAGAGATTAGGTCTCACTATGTTGCCTGGGCCTGTCTCAATCTCCTGGGCTCATGTGATTCTCTCGCCTCAGTTTCCCAAAGTACTGGGATTATAGGCGTGAGCCACCGTGCCCGGCTCACAGTACCTTTCTAGGCCCTGGGCATTCTCATCTCTAGGCTTTTGCTTATGCTACAACCATTCTCAATTTCTTTTTTTTTTTTTGAGTTGGAGTCTCACTCTTGTCACCCAGACTGGAGTGCAGTGGCACGCTCCCAGCCACCACAGCCTCGACCTGCTGGGCTCCAGCAATTCTTCCATCCCAGCTTTCCAAGTAACTGGAACTGCAGGTGAGCACTACCACGCCTGGCTAATTTTTGATTTATCGTAGAGATGAGGTCTTGCCTGCCCAGGTGGGTCTCGAACCCGCGGGTTCAGGCAATCCACTCACCTCAGCCTCCCAAAGGCGCGGGATGATAGGCTGAGCCACCGAGCCCGGCCCATTCTCAATTTCTAAAGAACCAAACTGCACTGTCCTTCAGTGCCCAGATCAACAGCAGCTGCAGCCCTGAAGTTTTTCCTGCTTCCCTGCAAAGAATACCCACCTTCTCCTTATCACTCCCCTGCACCAAATCTGCACCTTGCTTAGCTCCCAAAGCCTTTCTCCCCTGCCTCAGTTACTCACGGACATGTCCTCTCTTCCCTGTGGCCACCGGCTTGGGGCCATCAGGAGCCGCATCAGCTCCATCTGTGCCCAGTGAGTGAATGAACGCACCCCATGATGGCATTCAGTGCCTCGGGCGTGCCCCCTGCTCTCAAGGCTTGTCAAGACATAATCCACATGCCAATCTCTTACCAAGGCACTGGCCAGATTAAGAGTCCAGGCTTACCATCGTTTTTTTTCTTTACTTTTTTTTTTTAACTCAGGGTCTCATTCTGTTGCCCAGGCTGGAGTCCACAGCTCACCATAGCCTCAAACTCTTGGACTCAAGCGATCCTCCTGCCTCAGCCTCCTGAGTAGCTGGAACTACAGGCGTGTACCACCATGCCAGGCTAATTTTATGATTTTCTGTAGAGATAAGGTCTCACTATATTGCCTAGGCTGATCTTGAACTCCTAGGCTCAAGCAATCCTCCCGCCTTAGCCTCCCAAAGTGCTGGGATTACAGGCACGAGCCGAGAGGCTAGCCCCCATAATCACTTTAGCAAATACCGCTTGAGTAGGGCAAGTTTTTCTTTCTTTCTTTCTTTTTTGAGTTGGAGTCTCACTCGGTCGCCCAGACTGGAGTGCAGTGGCCGCTCCCGGCCACCGCAGCCTCGACCTGCTGGGTTCCAGCGATCCTTCCGCCTCAGCCTTCCAAGGAGCTGGAACTACAGGCGTGCACTACCACGCCCGGCTATTTTTCATTTTATTGGAGAGACGAGGTCTGGCCAAGTTGCCCGGGTGGGTCTCGAATGCTCGGGCTCAGGCAATCCGCTTGCCTCGGCCTCCCAAAACGCTGGGATGACAGGCTGAACCACCGAGCCCAGCCAAGGCGGGTTTTCCAGTCCAAAGGTAAGGGCCAATATGGAGAAGAGAGAGAAAAACACAGGAAACTCTGCCAGCAGAGCTGCCCTGATTCCTGCCCAGCCCCTCCTACACCCCCCGAAAGGGGGCCAGGGCTTCTCTCCTGTTCAGGGCCAGCCAGAAGCCAGGAGGCTGGCGCGAACCCCAGAGTTTTTGGCGGCCCCGGCTAGTGAGAAACTCCGGGCTCCATCCCCAGGTTGGAGAGAAGGCTGGGCCGGCTGCTGGTCTCCCCAGAGGCCACAGAGGGCGGTGCAACCCACCATGTCAGGAGATTTCAGGGCCCATCCAGGTCTTGCTCGCAAGGTTGGAAGGCCTGGACCAGGTCCGAATTCCTGCAGGCTTCCAGGGAAGTGATTCTCACCAGCAGCATCTCCCACCCTGAAATAGCCTCAGTCTGGCATCTCTGGGGAAGGGCCCGGCTGTCTGTGCAGGGCCTGTGCATTTGGTGTTTTGTTTGTTTGTTTGTTTGTTTGAGTTGGAGTCTCACTCTGTCGCCCAGACTGGAGTGCAGTGGCCGCTCCCGGCCACCGCAGCCTCGACCCGCTGGGCTCCGGCGATCCCTCCGCCTCAGCCTTCCGAGTAGCCGGAATTACAGGCATGCGCTACCACGCCCGGCTGATTTTTTGATTTATTGTAGAGATGAGGTCTCGCTGCCCAGGCGGGTCTCGAACCCGCAGGCTCAGGCAATCCTCAGCCTCAGCCTCCCAAAGGCGGGGGATTACAGGCTGAGCCACCGAGCAGATAATTAAAAAAAATTTTTTTTGTAGAGACAAGGTCTCACTATGTTGATCTCAAACTCCTGGGCTCAAGCAATCCTCCCGCCTTGGCCTCCCAAAGTACTGGGATTACAGGCATGAGCCACCATGCCCAGGGCCTGTGCATTTTGCTGCTGTTGTTGTTATTTTTGTTTTTTGAGTCCGGAGTCTCACTCTGTCACCCAGGCTGGAATGCAGTGGCACACCCACAGCCACAGCAGCCTCGACCTGCTGGGCTCCGGCGATCCTTCTGCCTCAGCCTTCCAAGTAGCTGGGACTACAGGCGCACACCACCACGCCTGGCTAACTTTTTGATTTACTGTAGAGACGATGTCTCGCCAAGTTGTCCAGGCTGTTTGGAACCCCTGGGCTCAGGCAATCCTCTCGCCTCGGCCTCCCAAAGTGCTGGGGTGACAGGCGTGAGCCACTGCACCTGGCTGGGCCTGTGCCTTTTGAAATGTTCCTTGTGCCATTCCAACATGCACAGTACTGAAAGCCACCGTTGCAGGGCTGGATCTGTAGTGGGTGAACCTCATCACTCTCCGCCTTCAGTCCAGGACAGCCTCCGCCAGCAGAAGCCACCCCCGTGGCAAAAGAGTGAAACTAGGGGTTGGGAAGAGCACAGGGGCCAGAGACAGGAAAGGTAATAAAGTCTGCAAGCCGTGATGAACTAGAGCCAGCGCCCTACAGCGGGAGGGCCCTCGAAGGGCACTGGCCCCACGGCCTGGCTGTGGCGTGCCCATGTGTGATTTGGAGCCAGGCATTTACCCTGCTCTGGGCCTCAGCTGCCTCATCTGGAAAAGAGGTTCAGAAGACGTCAGTGTTCTTGTCATCTCATAGGTCGAGGCGTGATATCTGGGAAAGTCAAAGTTTAAGGCGCTAGACAGGTGCACACAAATTCTTACAAGAAAAGTGGATTTCACCTGAGCCCGCGGGTTCAAGACCAGCCCGGGCAACTTGGTAAGACCTTGTCTCTACAATAAATCAAAAAAATTAGCCGGGCGTGGTGGCGCACGCCTGTAGCCACAGTTCCTTGGTGGCTGAGGTGGAAGAATCGCCTGAGCCCAGCGGGCGGAGGCTGCGGTAGCCGGGAGCATGCCACTTGCATGCACTCCAGCCTGGGTGACAGTGAGACTCTGACTCAAAAAACGAAATGAAATTGAGATTGAAATGAAATGAAATGAAGGAAAAGGCTCCCTAAATGGTGCTGGCAACAGCAAATCCCAGATCTGGGCACCGGTGGCGGGGACGCCTACCTGCTTCCACCCGGTCTCCATGGCGGCTGGCACGGTTGCCATCTGTCTGTAGCTCGTCATCTCGGTCCTCCCAGAGGTGGGCTCGCACGGGCAGCTCATGGCCCAGCACCTCCAGCTCTTTGTGGAAACTCTCATTGGAGCAGTTTTGCAGGAAGCCGAACACCAGCAGGTCTGTGACATACGCATCCCGGAGGCCCGAGCCATTGCTGACCTGAGAAGAAAGAGGTGTCAGGGAGATCGTGAAGACCTGGTCGGGACAGAGGCCACTTCTCACAGCTAGGCTGGCCTGGAAGACCACATGATTCCCAGCCTTTTGAAAGGGCATCGCCAAGGGCATCTGGAGAAGCTTCCCGGTGCCGGGTACGGCTCTGTGTTCAGGGACCCGGGTCCTGCAGGCCGCTGGATTTATCAAAGGCCATGTCATTAGACGTTCGCAGACACCTCCCCATGGCTGTGAGAACGGCAGGATGCTGAGACATGCAGTGTGGACATGGGAAAGCCCCGGGGCTGGACGTCCTGCAGAGAACTCGGCAGAGGACGGAGGACATTAAAAGACTATATAATAAGTAGACCCAAAAAAGCTTTTTTAAAGCCAGGTGTGGTGGCTTGCACCTGTAATCCCAGCACTTTGGGAGGCTGAGGCAAGAAGATTGCCTGAGCCCAGAGGTGGGAGACCAGCCCGGGCAACTTGGCGAGACCCGTCTCTCTACAATAAGTCAAAAAAGTAGCCAGGCGTGGTAGAGCGCACCTGTAGTCCTAGCTACTTGGGAGGCTGAGGTAGAAGGATCACCTGAGCCCAGAAGGTCAAGGCTGCAGTAGCTGTGATTATGCCACTGCACTCCAGCCTGGGAGACAGAGTGAGACTCCAACTCAAAAAAAAACAGAAAATTTTTTTTTAGAGCTGGGGTCTCACCTGTCGCCCAGGCTGGAGTGCGGTGGCACAAGCATAGCTCTGCAGCCTCGACCTCTTGAGATCAAGCAATCCTTCCACCTCGGCCTCCCAAGTAGCTGGGACTACAGATACACGTCACCACACCCGGTTACTCTTTTGATTTTTTTCTAGTGATGAGGTCTGGCCATGTTGCCAGGCTGGTCTCGAACTCTGAGCCTCAAGCCACCCTCCCACCTCGGCCTCCCAAAGTGCCGGGATGACAGCCACGAGCCCGTTTTGCTTCTTGTGGTCTTGTTTCGTCTTTTACTGTGCCAGTAAGTTGTAAGTCTGAAGCTCCTGTTTGCAGAGCTATCGATGGCTGGGCAGGTTCAACCCCGACGGGCACGTGCAAGGACAACAAGCCTCAGCCACCTCTGCACCCCTCCCGGACACCCCTCCCAAGGAACTTAGAGTCTGACCTCAGAGTCCATGGCAGAGGCAGCCTGGGGCAGCTCCACCTCCCTTCGGCTCACGGGTGTCTGGTCAGCAGCCTGGAAGAGGAGACACACACAGGGTGGGCAGCTGCCCCTGCAGAGACCCCCGCTCAGGACCCTTGGGAAAGAGCCACAGGACCTGTCCTGGGCTCCGGCTCAGAGTAGCTGAGCCCAGCGGTGCCAGCCCACCCGGCGCTCACCCTGGTCTCTCTCTTTCCCTGTGGTCCAGGACCGTGTGCAACAGCCCGGGGTGCAGGCTCTGGACTTTCCCTCATTTCAGAGAATTTCCCAGGCCCTGGGCACTCCCCACGGCTGCCTCCTGAATTATTCATTTATTTTTTGACTCAGAGTCTCACTCTGTCACCCAGGCTGGAGGGCAGTGGCATGCTCACGGCCACCGCAGCCTCGACCTGCTG